TGGAGAAGAGCGCAGCTCCTCGAAGCGCGGCGTCGGGTCGCGGTAAGGCGCCTGATACGCGCGCTGGTCGTAAGACGGCGCGGCGTACATCGGATCAGCATACGCAGGGGCCCCGTACGAGCCCTGGCCAAACTGGGCCTGATACGAGTGGGGCTGCTGCTCCGGATACGGCGCGTGGCCATGAAGCTCGGCCCGAAGGCCAGCGAGCTGGTTTCGCAGCGAGTCGTAAGACGACAGGTCGGCTCGACGATCCACACGGCCATGGAGACTGCGAGTTTCTTGATAGAGCGAGGCAACATCCTCACGGAGCCGCTCCACGGCACCAGGCTGACCAGCACGAGCGGCAGCCTCGCCACCAAGGCCGACGCCAAGCGCGATCTCGAGGACGTACACACGGTCCCGGAGAAGACGAATCTCCTCTTGCTGCAGGGCCACCACCTGACTCGGGGCCCCAGCATACGGCTGCGTCGCCTCAGGCTCGTAGCCATGGCCGTGCGAGGCCACCGCCGGCCCTCCTTGATCGTAATGGGCAGATCCACTACCACGTGGAACGAGTCGTCCGGGAGCGGCGGCTCCATGGCAAGCGCCAGCTGCTCGTGAAGTGGAGGGGTTACCCTGAGTCGGATAACTCGTGGGAGCTCGTTGAGCAGCTCCAGGCAGACTGCCCGAAGGCTGTTGCGATATGGGACGAGAAGCAGCGGCAGCTTCGTAAGTAGTCCTTGGCTTCTTGGCCGGTACCCGGGGCACGGTAGCAGACGTAGTCGCACCACGCCCACGCTCTTCACGAGCTTTGGCTCTCGCCTCTTGCTTCAGCTCGTCCATCTTCGAGTGGAGCTTGCGCTTGCTCACGGGTTGAGCGAACTCGATGCGGAGCTCGCGCACGTCCAGGATTGCGGTCAGAGTGCGATCCTCAAGGAGTTCTTTGAACTCTTGGTCGGAATACCCTTTGCGCTGGACGTAGCGCCAGAAGCGGTCTTCCACCTCGTTCCAGGTCATGTTCTCATTCGTCTTGACCCAGTGGTAACCCCACACAGGATGGAGTCCACCCTTGTCCTCCGGCTTCTTGCGAAGCGTGGTGAACTCCTTCAGTGTGAGCTTGTGTGGTGCTAGTAGCACACACCGGGCGACTTCAACGTCGCCAAGAAAGAGTGGCTCTTTCTCAACAAGAGCACGCTCATAGGAACCCCTCGAGGTGTACCCACCGATAAGGCCACGAGGAGCCGAGAGCTTCTCCAACAGCGCTGGCGCACCAGTGCCAGGCTCGGGCGGGAAGTAGCCCTGCGGGTACGTGGCATCCCCGCCTGAAGAAGACTCGATGGCAGTCGTGGCAGTCGGCTGCCTGGCATACGCACCCGAGCTAGCAGCGTGGTATTGCTGCTGCTGCTCGTCGAGGTTGTTGGAGAGCTCCTTGGGCTCGTGGACGGCACCCTCCTCGTCCTCAGACCCCGAGTCGATGAACAGCTTGGAGCTGGAGCCGCGAGGCGACCTGGAAGCTGAACGCTTCTTCGCCTTGGCCTCGGCGGCCTTCGCAGCGGCAGCCGCTTTCGACGCTTGGGCACGCTCACGACCTTGTGTCAGCGTCAGATGCTTGGGTGGCGACACCGCCTTGGGCTCAGAGCCCGTGTCGCTCGACGACTTCTCGGCCACGACCCCAGCGTCGGCCATGGCGACTTCGTCGTGAGACTGCTTGCTGTCGCCTGAGCCGGACTCGGCGTCCTCCGTCTCCTTCTCTGACGAGGCCTTTGCGTCGGCCGAGGCGTTGGTCATGTCGCCTGCCGCCAGCTCCGTGCCTTCGGCAGCGTGCGTGCTGCCCTCCGAGACGTTCTCGTCGTCGGGTGAACTCTCACCGTAGTACTGGACCATCGTGCAGTCAACGACGGCGGCTTCCCAGTCACGAGCCGGGCTTTTATGGCCCCGAGGACTCTCCTCCTTGCCTTGCGCGGCGTCAGGAGACTTGCTCCGAGCCCCGGCCTGACGGCCACTCTCCGGCGTGCTGCTGCGAGAGCGCACCACCTCCTCGGCCGCCTTCGTGGCCTCCATCAGCGCGGACGACTCGTCCTTGGCCTTGGCCGCCCTGGTCTTCGGCCCTACGGCCCGCGGTTTCGGAGGTGCTTTCGCACTGCGCGCACTGCGCTTTGGAGGCATGCTTCCGGTCGACGTGGAGACCCTGCGGCTTGCTCGGCGATGCGCCAGTTGCTCTGTGAGGCCCGGGAGCCGAGGCGCCAGAGCTCGCGCCGTTGTCGATGGATTTCGACTTTGCGAGTGAAATGTGAGTCGCCGGCGTAACCTCGCTCTGATTGGTCGATAAGATCGAATCTAAGTGGGGGAGGATGTAACGGGGTTACATGGAATAGTGACTCTGTCACTATTCCGGGATGGCTACATCGGTCACTCCCCTGGATAGTGACCCAAGTGGCCTCAGAGCTAACAGACACATTTTGTATGACACAAACTATAGGGAACTTAGGATTTGTATGCAGGCCAAATCTGTACCAACCTATAAATACATTCAGTCTTCGATCTACCGCTTTTCAAGTCAAGTCGTCCCCTTCAGACCAGGGACACGTGAACGGCTGTTCACTTGGAGTTTGTATACTCCTGCTTCCTCTGTTAAGAAGTGCTGTGTGCCCCGTCACAGCGCAAGAACAAGCCGTCTCCGTTCCAGCAACAGATCGATCAAAACATCGTCGAGTTCATCATGCTTGCAGAGGCGGAGGGCATTTGCCTCAGCGGTGCAATGATCGTCTTCTATGCGACTTACTAACTGTCATGAAGTGGTGCGAGTCTGCGTGGGATAATGTGTCAGCTTCTACAATTCAGTTGTGCTGGTTTACTTCTCGATTTGCTAACTCCGAGAAACCACCCGACCCTTCCGCCCTCTTCTCCCCTCCTAGCGTCATGGCGATACAAGAGCAAGCTCAGCAGCCACGCGGCCGTGCATGCCCCGATCCTGACGTGCTTCCAGCGATGAATGAAGTAGATGAAGGCGCCGACGAAACCATGGCCGAAGCCACGGCCACGCCTAGTAGTGCGAGCCCCAACCAGGCTCCACCATCGACGCGTAACGGACCGCCGACCGAAGAACCTACCCTGGCGGACCTCCTCCAGGCACAGCAGGAAGATCAACCAGCCAACCTCCTAGCGGATGAAGACAGTCTCGACTGTATTCGGGCAGCTTACGAGCGAGGCATAACAGACCCCGAGCAACTGCTCGCTCTAGCTGAAAACGCGCAACCGAACCAAGTTCGAGACGCGCGCTTCAGCATCAAGGCGACGTTCTCGGGGAACCTACAAGCGCTATCGAGACCGAAGATAATTGCCAACCTGCATCTCATCATGGACAACCCGTATGTACAAGAAGTGCTGGCGAAGAAGGCAGTCGTGCACGTGCACTAGCTGCAGCGCAGTCAGCTGATGTTCCAAGTCGACTCCAAGCAAGCCAAAAAGCAACTAGAGGGGCAGAAATGTAGCTTTCTTGGAGGGCACCTCGAGTTTGAACGCTGCGACCCGTTGTCGGACGACTACTACGTCGACGTGATGGGGATCCAAAGTCAATCCACCGCACGGAAAGTGTTCCAGCACTTGTGAAACTGGGATGTAAACCCATTTACTACAACGCAACCTACATCAGCCAGAAAACGCAGGTGTCTTCGGGGATCCTGCGCTACTTCTTGGCAGGACCTACGTGTCCAAAGGCCCTCATTGTTGGAGGAACTGTGTGCACCCAGTTTGATGTTGAAGGCGTGCTGTATGCAGTCAAGGGTAAGGACTTGCCACCGCAGTACTATCACCTCCAACCGAGCAAGCGGTCGCCGAGCTGTCTGGAGCTAAGTGGAGCGCTCTACGGCAGACAACGAGTGGCCCAAGTCGGCAAGAACCCAAACAATATGAACAAGCAAAGCGGAGAGAAACGAGCGAGGGAGAAGGAGACCCCGCAGCCAGCCCGGCAGACTGAGAATCATGAAGGAAAAGTTAACACGATCGATGATATGGATCTCTCGTTTGATTCCCCTGTTGAGTTAGTTCACTCGGCACCTCCAAGCCCGACACAGTTTCCGGAAAGCGACTTCGCTCACCCGCCGAAAAGACTACAGAGCAGGAGAATTGCACCGCCTCCTACTCCGTCGTCAGAGACGTGGAACTCCAGGAATTTCTGGAGCCACCTCCAAGATGTACACCCAGAAGTGGAATGCCGTGTCACGGAGGAACACGAAGAGACCCTAGGCTTTCAGATCCTCGTTGCCAGCATCGCACCGAGCGAGAGCGTAACGAAGAGTGGCGAATACGCCTACTACCACAAGAAGGACAAATCGAAAGTGAAGCTTTCCCCCGAAGCGACCATGCTGCGGGAGAACATCCCGGAAATGCAGAAAGACATCCTAGAATCAAACGATCAGTTCGAACGCGAAAAGGAAGCCCTTCCAGCTGCCCAAGCGGCGAAAGAATCGAAGTTGTTGACTACGTCGCCTTCCTCAGACGCAATTCTGAGGGAGATAACTAAGAACCGCCTTGCCTTCACGATTAAGCTGTCTAAACTCATGCGACAGAAGTCCGCCATGATCGATGAGATGGCGTGGACCCACCTTTGGTACCGATGTGTAAATGCATCCGTACCAAGCGCCAAGTACACCTTCGCGACTAAGTGGAGAAAAATGACTGGTGCGGAGGCCCTAACCTCTCGAGAGTCGATGCTGGCCAGCATGGAGACGCTAAAAGGAGAGATAAATGCTCCCTCACTTGATGTCTCACTTGCATTGGCCTTTTTCGAATTGCTGCTCCTAGCAGCAGCACCCCGCATGTTTGACAAAGACTACTGGATCCAAACCCTGGCAGGCAGCCACGTTCCCTGGCTGCTAGCGTCAGGAACGCGCCTACTTCACCCAACACACTGTTGGCGCTGTTGCGCTCGGAGTGTGGAGGCCATGTGCTCCAGCGACTGAGTTCATTGGAGTGGACACACGAGATAATGACCACTCTGCTGGAACTCCGCAACTCAGACTTTTGGTTGGCGAACGGGACAGCGGTCCTGCAGATGGAATACAGCGATGATGAGCCAAAACTAGTGTTTGGACCCCTCTATGACAGCTACTAAGGCCTCCTTAACGTGGGACAATGTGTCCATCTTGACTGTGATCACTAATGGCGTCAAGAGAAACGGACACGTGCTGATAGAGAAAACTCTGTCAAACTACCATGTATCCTGCCTGCAGGAAACCAAATTTCGCAACATTCATCACGCTCACAAATTTTGAATTTCTACTCCGAGCAACGTACGACTGCAAACTATTCGTGAACTCTAACAGACATGACGTCTGTTAGAGGTTCGAAAGACTTTCTCGACTTTGGTGTAGACACACCAAAGGCTACATACATTTACGATCACCACGACGGGTGGTCCATAGAGACTTAGGATTCCTATTGGCTGAGAGCAGCATCTCTTAGCCAATGAGCGACATGCATAGCAATGGAATTCTGCCAACCAGCCGTTGGCAGATCCTATCTTAGAATATTACGTTTAGAGGAAGTCAGAAACATAAAACAAAAATAGCAGTTCATTTTAACCCAAAAACATTATTTGGATCGTTTATTTAGATTAATCTATACTCGGAGGCCCGAGTATAATTAGCTCTAATTTAAACTAGGCTACGCTTCCTCACATACACGCGCACACGTGTAAGCTAAAGTAGTGAGCCAAAGTAGGCCCATTACACCTGGTAGCACTTTGTAGTCCGTCCAACGACGACTACCTGAGTTCGTACGTCACCGCACGAACGCGGAGCTGAGAACCTTCGATGGATACGGAGGTGTCCATGGAAAGCTCCACTACGCCTGCAACTCACGTTGCACGCGCTGACTGTCCCCACCTGTCGGACCCAGAGTGGGAAGCTCTCCAACGACTGTCAACAGTCATTGGTGAGGCGGCTGTAGCTACGATGCTGCGTACGCTAACGCCGACAGAGCAACATGGTGTTGCTCTGGGATTCATCATGAGGGAGCAGCGAGATGCTGCTTCGTCTACCACGGGGACGACACCGCGCGCGCAATCGCTGAAGCTCAGCGTGAGCAATTACGTTGGAAGAGAGGGCGAGCCTCTCCTCCGTTGGCTTGTCGAACTCGACACTGCCATTGCGGCTCGACGCATCGTCGACCCCTTGTCGAAGGTCGCGTTCGCCATGTCATGTCTTGGCGGACGTGCAAGAAGTTGGGCGTATGGACGCCGACTCTCGGATCCTACGTGCTTTAGCACGTACGAGGGTTTCAAGGAAGAGCTCAGACAAGCGTTTGAGCCCCCGCAAAACGAGTTCCGGTCGAGGACGGAGTTCCTCGACCTGCAGCAGGGCAAGCATGATGTCCATGCTTACGCTCAGAGAGCACGCTACTTGGTCTCGAACATCGTGACCAATCCGATCGACGAGGCGACCAAGGTCGTCACGTTCATGAAGGGGCTGAGAGATGGGCCTGTGAAGACCTATCTCTTCCGTGAGTACCCGAGTACTCTCGAAGCTGCAATTAATCTTGCAATGCAGGAGGAGTTTAGCCTGCGGCAGGCTAAGCTGCACGCACATGTGCCGAGGCCACAGCCACGCCCGGTAGTGAGGACGGGAGGCCCAGAACCCATGGACCTCTCGAGTGCTGCAACTGCTGGACCCCAGCAGTCGCAAGGAAACAATGTGCGATGCTACCGATGCGGTAGAATCGGTCACTGTGCTCGGGAGTGCACGGCCCCCGTGCACCAGCAGGGTGGCTATCGCGGCGGTGCCGGGCACCGTCGCAACCAAACAAAAAACGCTGGACGCCAGTAGGCGCGGGGCGCCCTACTGGTAATGCAGTTCCGCGTGTCGACCTTGGACACGCGACACTGAGGACTGCAGCCCCCAGTGAAGTTCATTCTCACTGCAAGAACCAAGATGACAAGCCTGACCTTGTCATCCTGAACGTGAACTCGATGAGAGCAAGCCGCTCTCTCCATGCTTTGGTAGATTCTGGCGCGTCGAAGAACTTTGTTCGACTGCGAAGTCTATCAAGGCTTGACTTCGAGGATTTAAAGATACCTCGAAGTATGTTGGAAGTACGACTGGCAACGGGTGCCATCGTAAAGACCGAGAAGCGCATGGTACGCGTGCGCTTCACGTATGAAGATCAAGAGTTTGTCGAGACCTTTATCGTCCTGGATCTGGACGATAAGTTTGACATTGTATTGGGCATGCCGTCGCTTGCACGGCATGATCCGGTCATCGATTGGGAGAAGCGCACTCTCGTGCGCTTCGGTCGCGACAGCGGAACAGTGAGCGATGGCCCTGTTGCCGCTACGCACGCACCGACAGGTGCGCGCGACTCCCCACTCGAGACAGCGCCTAATGCCGCTGTCCCGGAGCGCCCTGGGCGCGCGCGAGCACGCTCGCAAGAGCAGCTAGCGTCGGCGTTGCCGCCGACAGCTAATGAAGGAAATGTGTTGACCTCGGAGGTCGACACCCGCTTTTCAGCGAATCAGGAAGAGTCTCCGGCCTCAAGGGGCACGGATGACGCAGGCGAGCCACACGCCTCAGCCGTGGAGGCTGACGCGAATCTGATTGGATCAGGTCTGGCCAATAATAAGGGCCAAGGTGACGTAACGCCGTCGACTCCGGGAGTCGATAGCTTGGACGAATTGGATTCGTCGGCTCGGGGAGCCGACGCACCCTCCGTAATGGAGGGCTCCGCCAATAACAGGCGTCGAGGTGAAGATGGCGTGTCGGCTCCGGGAGCCGACGCTGCAGGCGGTGCGGACGGTTGCAAACGTCCCGCACCGGAAAAACTTGCATGCTGTCGTGCAGCCGGGCTGCACGACGAAGCGCCGGGCGACCAAGCCGGGCTTGAAGTCACTCGCCCGCGGGATATACCCGCCGGTGGTATACAAGAAGAACACCCGTCCACGGCTGGGCCTGGACGAGGTCAAGAACCAAGCGGAGCCGGGCACCGCAAAACAAGAAGACGGCGCATGCGAAGGTCGCTGCGCAAGTCTCGGCCTGGGGCCGAGACGCTACAGGAAATGTCGGCCGGGCAGACGGAGGCTGAGAAGCCGGACGTCGAGACGTT